ATCATCATCATCATCATCATCATCATCATCATCATCATCATCATCATCATCATCATCATCATCATCTTATCATCATCATCATCATCATCATCATCATCATCATCATCATCATCATCATCATCATCATCATCATCATCATCATCATCATCATCATCATCATCATCATCATCCTCATCCTCCTCCTCCTCCTCCTCCTCCTCCTCCTCCTCCTCCTCCTCCTCCTCCTCTTCCTTGTCCTTTTCCCTTTCGGAGAGGAGGAAACAGCGGTCAGAACGCACCCCTGGGGAGGTCTGAGGGTAGCGGTGTGGGTACCCTTGCGTTTCCTCAGCAGGGGGCTCTGGCGGGGGTGAGGGAGGGGGCATGGGGGAAGGAGGGGGGAGAGAAGAATCGGCGCAGGAGCGAAGAGAAAGATGGCGTGGAGGAGGGGGGAGAAGGGCACGGGATGGCGAGAGAGAGAGAGTCCCCTTTTTGCGTACACACCAATGCCCGCGACCAATCCCTCCGAGAGCCGGTCACCAGGCAGCACCTTCCGTTGTGAGCGTGTCGTGGGCGGAAGGTACCCTCGAACGAGGGTCTGGCCCGAAACGTTATGGATGGAGGTGGAGATGGACAGGATGGGGAGGACAGCAGATGACTCTCGGGTGGGAAGGAGGAAGAGACAGAGAGAGAGGCCCAACGCGCGCCTCGAAGACCGTGGCCCGGTCGTCCGACACTGACTGGCTCTGCGGGGGAGGACTAGGTGGGACTTGGAGGATCTAGACCTTGGGGGGAAGAGGGAAGAGTAATGAATAACAAAGGAAGAGCTCCTCGCCTGCACTACACCACAGGGCAGTACGGCACCCACAGGAGCATAGTGGCGAGGGCCAGCACAGTGCAATTTCTGACCTGCTCGGACAATCAACCCTAGGGGTTCAGAAGTCTCTAAAACATACACACGCACACGGAACGGGTTTCGTCTCCAAGGGACAGCTTGCGAGACCGACCTACCTCACTCATGTGCCTAGGGTCAAAGAACAACTCCAATAGATCAGCGCTCGTCTCCAAGGTACAGTTTGCGAAACCTACATGCATCACTCAACTGGGCTGATGGGAAAAACAGCTCGATATGTGAGGGGGCAAGAGGGGGAGGAGCGAGGATGGTGAATAATGAGGAGGGAGGAGAAAGGGCGGAGGAGGGGACCCCTGGGCACGCCACTTCTGGAGATGAAGAAATCCGTCCCTCAGGGAGGCAGCCTCAAGTCGGGTCACGACGTACACACGGAAGCCAAAGGCATCCACGGCCTCGGTCCTTAGTTGAATTAATATATCCGAAGCTGCATCACAAACCTGTTTTGTCTTACGCCGTGCACTTCGAAGGGGCGGGGGTGGGGGGCACAAACTTAGGGAGGAGAGCGACTGCACTTCCTAGGGGGAGCTGTCCTGCCATCACTGGAATTGAAGCCCCAACCAGGCCCGTAATCACATGACGGAGGATAGTCTGCTCCTGGGTGTTGGCCATCGAAAACGGCAGGGAAAACATGTTAGCTATCTCCTGGGGGGATCCTGCTTCCCTCACATGCGTCCAGCGTAGAATGATGCA